GCGCGCCAACAGTTGAGACACCGGTCACGGGGTCACTGCGTCCGCGCTGAGGGCCCGGGAATCCAGCCCCGGGATCACCTGTGAGGACACCGGCCCTTGGCGGAGCCCACCCAACAGGGAGGGAGCGCGCGCCGCCTCCTGCGCTGAGACTGGACGGGACAGGAGGGGACTCTCCGCCCCAGTCGCGCGGGACGGGCCTCGGCGCGTCCACGACCCCAGCAGGGCCGCGCGGAGGAGGAAGGACGCGGGCTTGCCGGACCTGCTTGTTGGCCTCATCGAAGAAGACGCAGTTGACAGGGTTCGCCTTCTCGAATTGTACCGGCCGCTCGCACAGCTCCAGGTAGTAGTCCTCCTCGCCCATGGCGGGCGCCGCGCTGGCGGCGGAGGCCCCGGGGGCGGTCGCCAGCGTGGAGCGCAGAGCGCGGTGGAGCTCAGCCTGGACTGCGGCTGCTGCAGCGGCGGCGGCGACTGCCTGTCTGGGCCTGGCGCGGACAGTTTCCTGGTGCCACGCCCCCACCCCACCCACCACGTGACCCGCGGCCCTCTGCACTTAAACGGGCAGTCTGGCTGCTGTGGGGCCCACCGACAGTAACCACGCCCTGCCTGACTCGTGAGGCTCCTCCCCTTTTCCCGAGGGCGGGAGGAGCGCGGCGGCGTGACCCGGAAGCCCGCGTGGTGCAGCACGGACCAAGGGCCGCTGGGCAGCCAGCCCTGCACTGCTCCGGGTTCCTGTGCGCGGCTCGGTCGCCCCGGCCCCAACCTGTGCCCTAGCGTGGGACCGTTGCCGGTCTAGAAAAAGCTCCACCTTGCTTTAGGGAGAATTTCCGGAGCGCCTCCCGCGGCAGGTTCCCCGCTTTGGGAGTTTTGTCTGGGAGAAGGGGCAGAAGGCTCGCTGAGCAGGTGCGGGTGCGCCTGAGACCGTCTCCAACCCCCTCTGCGCTTTTGCGGGCTCTTCCGCTGGAGCCAAAAACCGAATTGTTGAGAAGCAGATAAACAAGACAAAAGCATACACACTTTATTAGTTTTTCATGGGGCTCTTCAAAAGAGAGTGAGGTCTGAAAAGGTGGCCAAAGCAAGGTGCTTTTTATACTTTTTAGACAAAGAGTGACGCATTTGAGAAGAAAGCACAAAAGGCACCTGGCTAGGAGCGATACATTTCTAAGGGAGTCACTGGGAGAAATACTGGGGGGTTGTAAAACTAGTGGAAGATGAAGGTTACTTGGGAAGTTCGTGTTTTCAGGTCCATTGCAGCCCCCAACTCCCAGTCTCTGGTGATAAGGGCTATTTTCTGGCCCAGGTACCGAGAGGGTACTGCTCCCAGAGGAATCTTAATGGCTTCTTCCCTGTGGGAAAAAGACAGGACATCTAGCCCTTTCTGAAACTACAGTTTCTCCAGTGTTTTCAACTCAATATACCAATTTTTGGACATATTTTGGAATAGCACGTCCTTCACTCCTTCATAGTAACAGGAAAACCTAATTTCGACTATGGGTCAGCAAGCCTTTTGACTTGGTAAGAAACAAAAGTTAACCATGTTAACCCCCCTTTTTTTTGGTTTATTTCAGAGACAGAGCCTCTCTCTGCCCAGGCTAGAGTGCATTGGTGCAATCACGGCTCACTGCAGCCTCAACCTCTCATCTCAGCCTCCCAAGTAGGTGGGACCACAGGTGCATGCCACCACACCTGGCTCATTTTTTATTATTTTGTTTTGTAGAGACAGAGTTCTCTGTTGCTCAGGTTGGTCTCAAACTCCTGGCCTCAAGTGATTCTCCTGCTGACCGTGCTCAGCCCCTGTGTTGACTTTTTTTTTTTTTTTTTTTTTTTTTTGTTGTTTTTTTTTTTTTTTTTTTTTTTTTTTTTTTTGAAACAGAGTTTCTCTCTTGTTGCCTAGGCTGGAGTGCAATGACACTGTCTCACTTCACTGCAACCTCCACCTCCTGGGTTCAAGTGATTCTTCTGCCTCAGCCTCCCAAGTAGCTGGGATTAGAGATAGCTGCCACCACAGCCAGCTAATTTTTTTTTTTTAATTTTTTGTATTTTTAGTAGAGACTGGGTTTCACCAAGTTGGCCAGGCTGGTCTCCAACTCCTGACTTCAGGTGTTCTGCCCATCTTGACCTCCCAAAGTGCTAGGATTACAGGCATAAGCCACCGAGTCCAGCCCCACGTTAACCCTTTTTTAAGTGTTCAGTTGTATTAGGCATATTCACGTTATTGTGAAATACATTTCCAGAAATTTTTTATCTT